CTGTTCCTAGCAGCAGGAACTGATGAGAGTCTATTCAGCATTCCTGGAAATCGCAATGCAGTTTCCATTAGGGAAAAAAAAAGGACAATTTTTTATACCATGTGTGATAGCATAATAATTGAGATTGAAAATCCAATTTCTTTCTCTAACACTTTCTATCCCAGCAACTGAAAATGGCTAACCCAGCTTTCCATAACCATTCAGATCTTCATCGTGGCCATCCAAGAAATAATGACAGCAGCAACAATGATGATTTGATTCTTTGCATCTGGCCATTCCCTTCTTCTTAGCCACTCCCACAGTTTTGTTCCATTTCCTAACCATGGAGACTTTAACTCAAAGATCCTGTGCATGACATTACCGTGTGTGTCTACATGCCAACAAGTATTTTAAACACAAAACCATCCTTTCAGGAAAGAAATCTAACAAAACAAATGTAAACCTCCAACATCCTTTTTTTGAAGGCAAAAGAGAGAGGCCAAGACTCAAGATTTGTATCCACAGGGCCTCACTTTCATGTTTTATACCTATTGATTATACGAAAAGAAAAAAAAAAACAACATGCAATTTTCCCCTCTATTTCTTTTTCCTCATTGATTAAATTGCTTGGGGATGCAGTAGGCAACACTGAGGACAAGATGGAGGGAGGAGAGTTTAATATAGCTCAAAAACCCTGCTGGTGTTCCAAGGGGTGGCCCAAACAGGGGGTCTTTTAAACTGGAAAGAAGACACTGGACTGGATAAAATGCACATAGCAGTTCACTGGAAAGTTAGTTTGCACTTAAGCTATGATTTTATTTGTTCTCGCTATGAACTGTTTTCTGGATTTTGAATGAAGCAATATGGAAGTGACCAGCAAAATAAAATAATTTTAAGTTAAAAGTGAAATTATATATAAAGGACAACTGTGGAAATGCCAAAACGAAGCAAATCAAGTCTTTGGAACAGTGTCCACTGGTTCTGAGAGGCCAGTACAGTGACTACTTCAGAGAGTACAGTGAAGGAGTAACCAGTTCTACTGCTGCCGCATGAAGGAAAGCAAAGCAAGCACTGGAGGAAGTCAGGGGAGAAAAATGTCCAGCTCTGTCTTGAAGTACACCAAGGATGCAAGTTTTCTAAAAGGAGAAATGCTCTGGCACAGAAGATAGTATATACAAGGTTTTAGAAGCTGAAATGTGCATGACTCTGAGCTTTCATTCAAAAATGTAAATAAGTATGAGTCTGTCTCCATGCACTTAGTGCCCTTTCATGATTTCAGCTTTTACATAGATCTTTGATTTATTTGCCCCATGACTCAAAATAAATTTAGTCAGAAACATTTTAGTATTGGAAACAGAACACCAGATGGACACAGAGTAGGGGAAAGGGAAAATATAGTGACGAGTAGCATCAGTAGTCCTGCTTTGGAAACACTGAGACTCAGATCCACTAAGGAATATTAGCACCAAACTCTCACTAGGATCCTAAATAAAAATTAGGCATCTAAATATGTGTGGATCTGTGCCTAAATTTTTAACTGTTAAGTTTTTAAGAAAAAAATAATGGTTGAACAGAAATTGTAGGTGAGACGGGCTAATGCACTTTGGCTGCCTATATTCATGCTCTGACACATTGTAATAAGAATGCTATAGCGTCACATGTATTAAGCCCCTGCACGTTTAAAAATGGTCATGGGACACTTTAACTAAAGCTTTAGATAAAGCTTCCCACAACCATGTTTAAATGTGGGGCTTTTATACATGTGGCGCTGTGGCATTTTAATTGGAGTAACTGCCCAGAAATGGCTCTAATTAAAACAACCCCCTCCCACCTCTGAGCACATGTATAGGCAGCCTTTGGTACTATTAACATTAAAATCCTTATTGTGATGAAACCAAGCAATAGGTACATGGCTGGTGAATGGCCTAGAAATGTCATGCATATTTTTTCTTAAATCCTAAATAACGTAATGGGTGACCACCAGCCACGAGCTGCCTGCCAAAGAGGCAGGCAAGGGAATAAACTACAACCCTCACCCTTGTTCCACTGTTGAGTTAATTTTAAGAGCTGATGTCCAGCAGTATTATATGAGCAGCCACACTGATTGCCACAGGTGACTTCCCATCACCTGACTCCCTCACTTATTCCAAGGATTGGCATGAAATATATGTATATGTAATTCACTGTGTTACAGGATTTACTAGATAAAATTATTAGTGGAACAGAAGGGGCCCTTTGATTTCAAACATGGGTATGTTCCTAGTTTTGTGGTTTGAAACAGAATTTGTGGATATCTCTACAATGTCGCTGTGGATTTCAGGTTAAGGCTAGTTCCACCTATGGGGCATTACAGAATTAGGTGCAATTAAGTCAATTTGAACTAGCTGAACTTAATTACCAGCTGCTGTGCAATTATTAAACACATAAACCCTGAATGTAGATAAATGGTTTAAAAGCAGCAACAACAACAAATCTTTGAAGGGGGCATTGTGGCCAGCTGGTCACTTAATAAATCAGTGTGTTGTGGCAGAACAAAATGAATAGCAGACCATTAAAGCAGGATAAATAGTTACAAAAGCCTTGTGTATCTCATAGGAAGCCTCTTTGTAGAGCGAGGGCTCTTCTGCTCTTGGGTCCTTTCCATAAGCCCCAGTAATGTTAACGGGAAATATAGGCAGACATTAAGGAAGCCCAATCCTGGGAAAACTTATGTCAACAGGAAGCACTGACTGTGCTAAAAGTTCAGCACGTGTGGAAGTCTGCAAGACTGGGGCCTCAGAGTTAAGCTTCTTGAGAAGAGGGAATGGACAAACAGTAACGTTCTGGGTTTTTATGTCCCATTTGTGATTCAGAAAACACTGAGAATATGAAGGAACAGGGGGGCTTAATCTCAGCGAACAGATGTGAAAGTCAAGAAACTCCTAATGGAAAATCTCTTTCCAGGCAATGTGCTTGTAAATGAAGGGGTGCACTAAAGGACCGATGAAGAGAGAGATGTGCACATCTTGAAAATATTGAAGGGAATTCCACATAAGTTCATTAGGATCCACCTGCTACATGGTGGGAAACTGTCTTGTGTTCTCTAGTAATTCAGTATCATCATAACATTAAAAAATAAGCCCCACTGAATAAATGAAGTGTAAATAAATCTGGTCTTTAATAGTCTAACCTTTTTCCCCCAAAACTTGAATTACAAATGAATTATTTATTCATTTTTTTAATTGCTGATTGTGAATATGATATAATATACTCAGTAATGTGGACGTGCAGAGGTTCCATGCACTGAGCATGAAAGCCCGAGGCAAAGCAGCCACAGAAATGGCCAATGAATTGCAGAGGCTGATCAGTGCCAAATGTGTCACCGATAATTCTGGGCAAGCAAACAATTAAAGCAAATTTGTTGCTAATGAAAATTCAGGTGGTGAAATGCCAAATGAATTGCATAACAACAAATGGTTACCATCTATTTATCCTAGGCTCCTGGTCTGGGTTGTGTGCAACCAACATTTCCTTTAAAAATCCATTGCTCTGTATACAATTGACCTGTGTATAATGTATTGACCTGGGTTGAACTGAACTTTTTTTTTCTTTCTTTTTTTTTCTTCAAGGGATGATTAATCTTAATGTTCAACAAAACACAAAGTCAATAGTCTGTATTGTTATGTATGCTCTGAATGTTTTTCACCAGAAATATCTGACTGGTTTATTGCCTCTTTGCCATAGAATCAGAGTGCTTCCCAAGCCTTACAGAAATAACAAACAGTATCTATCTCTTCTTCTCTGATAAGAGTAACTAACTTGATAGACTTAATTTGTGTATTATTCTTAGTTTTTATCATCATCATCATCTTGGAGAGGTGAGACCATTCATCACGTAAGGTGAAGCTCAGGTTTTATTTTTAAATGAAAAATCGAATTTTCTGTGGAAAGCAGATGCTTTTCACAAAAAAAAAAATCATTTCATAAAAAAAATCAATTTTCTGATGAAAACCAGTTTTGAGAGAGAATTTTTTCAGTAGACTTAATTAAATCTCAGGTTCTACATCTGTCTCTAAAGCCCTTGGACAAGTTTTAATGACTTTATTAATCACATTTTCCTATTTATATATGTTTCTGTCTCCCCTGTCATGGCATACCTGTTGGGAGAATACCGAATAACTTCAGGAGAAAAAAAATGCCTGAATGTATTTTCAAACGCACAGTGCAAACAAACCAAATGAAAAGGGTGGGGGGTGAGAAAGAGTTTCCTTTTTCCTAATCTCTTTTGGTGATAGCCATCTTCACTGTTACTTATACCAACAGAAGCTAAAAGAATTTCAGGGGAAATTGTGATGTGGAAGTTGATGGTTTCCTATAACTATTGATGGAAACCAACTAGAGCTTAACTTGACAGTATCCTTCTTTAACTAACTTTTTCACTGACCAGTTTTTAAATTGACCTCATTCCTTTTAACTCATTTTTTTAATTAACCACATTTTTTAAATTGACAATGCCTGCCTATTTAAATGCAAGAGAGTTTCAGAATTATTCAGAGGAGTAATCTGTTTAATGTAGAAAACAATGGAAAAAACAGAAACTTAGTACTTATTGCTATAAGAAGGAGCAGTCTGTAATGAAACCTCAGACCACAAACCTTTCTATTTGGGTCGAGAAACTCAGTGTTAACACTGCCAGCTGCTTTGCATCTTGTAATTGAAAGAAAATGTAAAGCATGAACACAAAAGTTGCAGAGAGGCAGCTTGTTCCTTTCATTTCTGCAGGTTGATGGAAAATTGGGACTGCCCTGTCTCACTTTTCCAACAACTGGTAGGTCCCAGAAGGCATTGACAGAGTGAAGATTATACTTGTTTATATTTTGCTGGGGCAGAGCAGACCAGCATGCACACAGCAAAGATCGGATCCTGTTATTGTTATAGGCAATGGGGGCTCAACTGTGAACTAAGGGAGACCTTTTATCTCTCTCGGAGGGAAGGAGGGAAACCTTTGCACTAGAGTGAACATATT